GATGCCAAAACCATCTAAACATTGTTCTCATTATTATCACCATGTGTCCACAGTTTTAAACAGTGCTATTGATAAAATACCCCTCAAGCCCTCATAGATTTGGCTCAGTGGATACAGAGTTGGCCTGTGAACCAAAGGATCCCAGGTTTGATTCCGGCTAAGGACACGTACCTGGTCAGTCTCGTGCATGAGGCAACCAATCAATGTATTTCTCTCACATCAGTGTCTCTGTCTTTCCCTCTCTCTGAAAATCAATTTTAAAAAAAACCAACTATATATATATATATATATATATATATATATATATATATATATATCCCCCCTCAGGTGAGGATTAAAAATAAATAAATAAAATACCCCTCAAAAAAATAAAATCCTCTGTTGGCCTGAGCCCTAAACTATTGGGGAAGTCAGTGTTGTGTTTTATTTCATATATGCTTTACATATATAATGTGCTTCAAATGAGCACCCTTGTATAACTTATTCGTTTATCACTAATCTTTTAATAACACATGCGGACTCAGCCTCTTATTCATTTCTAGGGTGAGTTCTTAACAGTTTGGAATCATTTGATCTGCAGTATCCAGGCAAGGCTTCTTTGCAGGTTAAACAGTAGAGTCAGAAATGAGCAATGATGACACAGTAATTATGAGGATGAAGAAACTCTAGTTACTTCATTTCTGTCATTCTCTGTTACTGCTTCTGGAGTTCTTATGTTTAAGATTTACAATGAAACAGTGTTGATTATTTCTAAAAATAATTTTTGTCCAGTAAAGGAAGAGGGTCTTAAAAATGATCTATTCTAGTTGTCAGAATCTAATCGGTATGCCCTGGCTTGGGGCAACTCCTTTCACCAGTGCCACTTGAAAATGTATACTCAGAGACGAAAACACAAAAGCTGTGAAAACTTTCAGCAATTTCACCAACATCAAATTAAGGTGAATACTATTCTGAACTTGGTTAGCACTTTTAATTGTAAATATGGACAGATTACTATGTGTTTTTATTTATGTGTTTGCTTTAGATCTTAAGTGTCCAGGTTTGCTTACATTGCAAATCTTTGACTTGTCAAAAATAATGCCATGGAAATTAATAGAAAGAAAAATAGAGCATGAAAAAGGAAAAAAATACATTGTTCTAGGGAGTTGTGGTATAATTCTTAAGACTTCTCCCTCCTTGTTCAATCCCTGAAATAAGGTAGACAGTTTTTGTGTTTTTTTTTTAAAGGACCTAATTCCATTCACTCTCCCATTGTCTCCTCCACCCATTGCTTGTTTTCATGTGCCTTATCCACACTGCTCCCCTTACACCACAAACACCTAACTGCTTTTGACTACTCATCAGGTTTTCACAACAAAATTGCAAGTTTGTTTAAATTACAATATTAGCTGGCAGCGCATTTATAGCTCACTCTTTCAAAGCAGGGAAGTTTTTAATGCTGAAAGGAAGGTGTTGGAGTCCTTACTCCTGAATCTTCAGCACTCTCCTGGACCCTGCTCGGTGCAGCCATTGTTGGAATAAGTTCTTCCTTGATCCCGCTCACAGTGCCAATTGTGGGAGTACTTACTCCTTGGTTCTGCTCACCTATGTCAACTGTGGGGCCTCAGTTCCCTGCCAGGAACTGGACCTTTATGGTTACTGGGTAGTGGACGGAGGAGACATGAGAGTTCATAGGCTTGTAGGCATATAAGAGAGTTTTATTACAGTCTAAGTAGCCATTGCTACTAAGTAACCATCAGAGAAAACCTTTCTTCAAAGGAGCCTCACGCTATAGCTGCTGCTAACATAGCAGCCATTGCAAACACAGCAGTAAACACAGGAGCCATTCCAAGCAGCTGCACAATGGCTGGTTAATAACACATCTTTACAATAACTTAGACAAAAGAAGCTTCTTGCCAAATAGTGACACCAGCCTTTTGGGTCATAGAAGGGCATGCCTGCGCAGTACAGTAAGATTGCTGTGTCTTTGCTTTTGCACCTGCATATAGCAGATTAGCCTTGAACACTCTGATTAGGATTGCCATGCTCAGATTGGCCTTGAACATCTGGCACACTCTAGACAGGGTTCCCACAGAAGGAAAGTAAAAGTAATTTCTAATGCACCTTTTCTGCTTCACATAAACTCATTGCACTGCTGTTGGGAAGCATCTTAAATGTTCATCAGTAGCGCACTTACTAACTTACGGAACACCTGGGCAATGGAATAGTGTACAGCCATTAAAAAGTATGGCTGTTCATTTTTTTAATGGCTATTCTTTTTAATACTAATGTTCTGTGTCAATATTGCATGAGTTCTAAGGTGCTGGTACAGATGTATTTTTTAAAACAAGATTTAGAAGAGTGCTACTGTTTTGGCATGAACGTTTTTACATTTTTTAAATGCTAAAACTTGTTGGCACAATCTCCATCATAACACAGCCTTCCCTCAGTCTTGGTTGGGGATTGGTTCCAGGAACCTCCACCGATACCAAACTCCACAAAAGCTCAAGTCCCTTACGTGAAACGATGGAGTGTTTGCATAGAATTTACACACATCCTCCCACATACTTTAAAGCATCTCTAGATTACTTATAATACCTAATGCAATGAAAGTGCTATGCAAATAGTCATTAGGCTGTATTGTTTGAGGGAATAATGGCAAGAGAAGTCTGTTTGTATTCCATAGGCCTATGAGTACATGTAGCAGAACATGTTTTTTCGAACATGTTCAATCCACACTGGGTTGAATCTGCAGATGCAGAACTCATGGATAAGGAGGGTCAGCTGTAGTTAAGATCATAAACCCCACGCAGAAGGTCACTGTGATCCCGACACCACAAAACACCAAAGCCGCCTCTCAGAGCCATATGTTCTCCGCTGGAGGCAGAGCAAGGCAGCGGCAGTTCTCAAAGGCCCACGCTCAGGAGCCTGTGGAAAGCTGGGTGGTGATTCCAGTGTCAGGGCTCCATTGTCAGCACCTTTCTCCTCTGGAGGCCAGAGCCCAGGGAGATGGCTGGGTAGCTCTGGTACAGTCTTCAGTTAGGGAACTGCACCTGTTTTTCCCTCCGCTAAGTAGCTCTTTCACGGAGCCAAATGGCAAGCCTTTCTTTGAATGTGAGAAAAATGCACACCTGGGTATTTTTTACGTATTTATCATTTAGTCCTCATATAATTGGAAAAAAACTAAATGTGAGGGAGTGTTGCTAAATTTATGGGTAATATAAAACCTGAAAAGTACCATAAAAGCAGAATAGGACCCAGTAAAGGGGCTATATACTGGTGGTTAGTAGCGATTCCTAGGTCAGTTAAGTTAATGACTGCAGTTGAGCACTGATTTTAGCTTTGCAATTTTTGGCACATGAGGTGAAAGGGGAAGTAGAAAGTATATAATACTTTTTATATGAAGCCAGAAAATAGGAAGTTTTGCCGAAGGAAAAGGACATTTCCTGATACTCAAGAAGGAAATTAAAATATAGATCTTTATTAAAAATATGGAGAGATTGACTCAGGCTTCATGGTGGTCGATTCGTGCCTATCAAGGTATTGAAACTTCAATCAAAATGTGCCCAATCTCTCAAAATATGTGTAATCTCATCTGTATGTCAGGTCTCACCAGTCACCACAGTAGTCCAACTCTCCTTTCTCATCGGACTGCTGTAAAGGGCTCCTGACACACTTCTCCATTTACGCTCAAAACCACCTCCCCCCACCCCCTTACCTGATGAGCAGTAGGGAGTCAGGGGACATTCAAGAGAAAGGAACCTTCTGTCAATACCAGATGCTAGCCTCCCAGCCTCATCCTGAAGCATGATGCTGATCATGTCATTTCCTTTCCCACAGGATACAATCCACACTCTCTATTTAGCCCTCCACAAGCTGGGTTCAGTTGCATTTCCAAACTCGTACCTTTGACATGGTACTGATCTTTTATCTAAATTATAACTATTGCATGTATAATATATCCTACATAAGGTTGTAGTCAAGTCCTATATAGTGTTTAGCATGAGCGTTAAATGTAAGGAGGCTTATGTTAAATTATAGCATTTTTGTAAGTGAGGGTCTAATTGCATCCAATTTCTCTCTAGGTGCCTAAAGTTTCTGTTTTGTTTTGTTTTTAAATATATTTTTGTTTCAGAGAGGAATGGAGAGGGAGAGAGAGATAGCAACATCAATGATGAGAAAGAATCATTGACTGCCTCTTGCATGTTTCCCCCCAGTGGGGATTAAGCCTGCAATCCCGGCATGTGCCTTTGACCAGAATGAAATCCGGGACCCTTCAGTTCACAGGCCAATGCTCTATCCGTTGAGCCAAACCACTAGGACCTGTTTTTAAATATGTAACAAATGGCCAGTCAGCTGTCAAGTCTCCTATTTTTTTAAATATCTCTAAAGATTAGTGAATCTGAATTCAGTTCATATACATTTGACTCTGGAAAAACATGGGTTTGAACTGCACGGGTCCACTTATAACACGGATTTGTTTTAACAAAAACAAATTAACAAATGTAATGTATTTTCTCTTCCTTATGATTCTTTATTTTTCCTCTAACTTTATTGTAAGAATACAATATAAAATAAATATACAGAATATTTGTTAATTAATTGTTTAGATTGACAGTAAGGCTTTTGGTCAATAGTAGGTATTAGTAAAGTTTGGGGGAGTCAAAAGTTGTTGCGGATTTTCAACTGTGCAGAAGGCAGAGCCTCTAATCCCCATGTTGTTCAAGGGTCAACTATACATTTGTAAAGACCTCATGGATCTTCTCTTACAAGGATAAACATTACTTCGATACAGAATGCCAGAAAGTAAAACAAATTAGATTCATGTAGCTGGTCATTTCCAGGGAAGACTATTAAATCAGTACTCTCTTCCAAAAAGTGACCAAGGGGTCAGTGCACTAATTTCCAGATGAGTATCACCTCCTAGCCTCCACTCAGGAGGTTGGACCCTGACCGCTACTGCTGGTTGCCATGACTCCTGTGATGAGAGCATAACCCTCACCTCCATTTCCTTCCAACAGGCCGATTTAAACTGCAATATTCAAGATGATGCTGGGGCTTTTTACTGTGTAACCAGTCAATATGAGAGCTCTGAAAACATGACAGTCACCTGTTCCACCAAAGTTTGCTCCTTTGGGAAGCAAGTAGTAGAAAAAGTAGAGGTAAGTTGGCTCTGTAACTTGGAACTTTCAAGGCCAGATTATGGCTGTCCTTTAAAGCTTTCTGGGGTAGAGTTTTACTTTTTTTTTGGTCTCTTTTTCTTTTGACCCAATCCCACCTAACTCCTCTCTCCCCCCCACTCCCACCCCTAATTACTTCTAAAAAGGCAAAATGGTTTGAAAGCCACTGAAAGAAGGCCAGGAGGAAGTCCCACGCCAGCCCCCTTGACTGTTGAAGTTGGCCTTCCCACCCATAGTGTTTAGTCCTGCAGGAGGCCTCATTAGGGGTGGCCTGGTGTGAGAGCTGCCGCCCATCAGATGAAGCCTTCCCACCCACCCATGGCAAGGGCACTCCCAGGCACTGGGAGAGGAGCCACAGAGTGTGCGACTGATGGGCACTGGCCTTCTAAGCCCCGATACCTTCCGTTCGGTGGTGTTGCTTTTGCCATTGCTACCCCTTTCGTTATATTTGTTTTAACCACTGTACGCTCCCCCCGCCACACACACACACACACACACTAGGGATTGAGTGGACCTTCCCCACACACTGTGCATGTCTATTAAAACAAAAATGTTTTTCCTAAGTGGCAGACCTGGCCAACTTTAAAATCATTTTTCATGAGGATTTTCGGCTGAAAATATTCAAGAATACCCAAATTGTAATATATTTATTTTTATAATATTCATTGCAAATTGTTTTTTTAAATTAAATTCGAAATGTTGTGGCATGTGGGGATGGTTTCTGTTTTGGACGTGGATAAGTCTATTCTAGTACAAACTGGGACTAAATACCTATTTTTGGCCTTGTAATTTTAAGCCTCTATTTCTTTGAAAAAAAGTATATGTTTGTTTGATTAGTATTAATGATATTTGTAGTTGACATTCCATTGAAGGTTTTTCATTATGCTCATTCCCCCACAATGGATCCATGTTCAGTGAGAAGCTTTTGTTTACAGCAGCCCTGGACCTCGGAAGTCCAGGAGCCCACCTGACTATGATAGAGACTTTGTGCTGAGGCAAGAAAGAGACAGAGAGAGACAGAGAGAGAGAGATCGGGGAGTGAGAAGGAGGAAGGCTGGTTCATTTAAGCTTAGGGGGTGTGAGCTTTACTATAATAAACTGGTGGTAGTGGGAACCCAGAAAGATATTTGAATGGAACTTAGAAACTAACTGCATATTTAAGATTAAAGAGAAGGAAAGTCAAAGGTCAAACACTTTATCCTTGGAAGGACAATCTTGTCACCAGCAGAGAGAAGGAAATGGGGTGTTCAATAGGAAACAGGGCATGATTACCGACCCATGCAAGGCTAACATTTTAGAGAAGGTAAAAACTGAAACTATTAATTGGCAATCCTAAGCCTGAGGATAAAGATAGGGATGGAGACTTAGCTGCAGAGAGAGAATAGCCAGAGCTTGAAATAAGGAGTCAGTTTGGGAGCAGCAGCCAGCCCTGCAGTGGCTGGAAAGGAGGCACAAACCAAGCAGCAGAGGGCAAACAGGGAGGGAGGAGGGGAGCTGAGTCAGGGCGGTGTCTGGGAAACTTGGGGAAGGGCAGGTGAGAAGGTGGCTATGAAATGAGACAAATCTGGAAGGCCTAGAACCTGCTCACCTCTATCTTCTCGGAGAGGGAGAAAGCAATGTTACCTGCCCATGGTTGGGAGCCTGGAAGGTCAGTGCTGGGCACTGCCACCCAGTAGCCAGCTGTCAGGGCTTATCTGTAAGCGGACTTCTTGCCTCAACAAGCACATGTGAGAAAAGGTGAACCAGACAAGTTAGTTTCCCCGATTTCAAATTACTCTTCCTTGTGTGCCCAGATAACATACCCACAGCTCTCTCTTATTTAGTTCAGGGGCCACTGAACTCTCGAACTGATGCACTCTCGAACTCTCGGGAATTTCCATGAAGAAGGCAGTATGAGTGTGGCAGGTGGAGTTTTATAATTAAACCTTAAATCCACTTAGAATGTATTTCTGTATTATGTGTATAAGGGGAGACTGCTATATTTTCTCCCAAATACATAGGTATCTGTTGAAAACCACTTATAAAGTGATTCATCCTTTTCCCACTGAGTGGATCTGTGCCCTTGATGTTACCACATAAACTGGGACTGCTTCTGGCATCTCTCTGTTCTCTCCACCTTGTATCTCCACCCTGTATCGCCACATGTCCCAATGCCACGCTTACTTCCTTACAATGGCCTGATGGTAGGTTCTGATATCTCCCGAGGAAGTGAGGTTCACCCATCTTTTTTTTATATATATATTTTCTAGGTTAGAAACTAGCATTCATTCTTCCAAATACTGACATTGTTTTAAAAATGTAAAGAGAGACAACATCTTATTTGAGCAATCTTATCTAATTGATTTCGATTATTATTTTTGGATAAATTGATACTCAGTCTTTCTAATCAAGAACCTATTTGTATTTTCATCTTATTTTATCTATTATAATAAGAGTTTATAGTTTTTATATGTATAGATTCCTTTCCAGGTAGTATATATTTCTAAGTATTATGAAATTGGTTGAATATAATCTTCTACTTCTAGATTTTGATTACTAGAAGAGAGAAAAGTTCTTGGTCTTTGTATATCTATTTTCTTTCAAAACATTTTGCTGTATTTATCTCTGGTCATTTTCCCCTAGATTCATGGCTTTTTTATGTATATAAATCTTATTGGCAGCTTTATTTTATTGCTGCTTTTCCAATTTTTATGCCTGTTTTTAAAATTATTATTTTCTCACCTTTTAGTTTCCTAAAACCTCCAATGAATTGTAAAAGGAAATAGTGTTATATGAGTAATAGTATCCCTGTATAGTTCCTGATGTGAGTAGACATATTTTGGGTGTTTTTCCATGTAGGATATTTGTTCTTGGTTTTTATAAATTGTCTTTATTTTTACATTTAAGTGCTTTCTTTCTATAAATATTTTACTTAGGATTTTTTATTAGTAGTAGCTACAATATTTTATCAAATGCCTTTTCAGCAACTCTAACTATATGATTTTTCTCTGATTTTTCTCCCATTTGTTGACATCATCACAAGTTACTCACATCCTGTGTGTGCACCACCACAGCATTCCTGAACGAAGTCCTGCTTTGGTTACAGTGACTCACTGTTTGCTGTTTTACATAGCGTTTTTGCATCTTAGCCTGTGCTTTTCTTTTTTTATTTCTTTATCAAATTTCAGGATTGAATGTATATTAGTTTCATAAAAATAAGTGGGACACCTCCCTTTTTCTGTGATCTGGCATGGTTTGAATAACATTGGAAATAACTATTCTTTAAAGGTTACATGGAACTTGCCTGTGAAACCATCTGGTCTTTGTACCCTTTTCAGCGGTATGTCTCTAAACAACTTCTAGTCATTTCAACCATCACTGACCAGTTGAAGTTTTCTACTTAAAAGGGGTCGTTATTAGCAATTTGTATTTTGCTAGGAAGGCACCCTACCTCTAGGTTTTCTCTGCTATTTTTGCTGTTAGAGGTATGTGATGTAATCTCTTGTAAATCTTCTAATCTCACTGCAATTGTGGTTTTGTCTCTCTTATTTTTTCTCCTTATGCTTGTGAAGTTTATTTTATTTAGTCTTTTTCTACAGAACCAGTTTTTATATTTATTCTGTCTGCATTTTTAAATTTGATTATATTTATTTGCACTTTTATCTATTAATTTCCTATTCCTGGTTTTGTTGTTGTTGTTGTTGTTTTGCTTTTCCTGTGGTTTTGGTTTGCTGTGTGAGGTGGTAATTTCTTAAAGATGTGCGTTTAGTTCTGAACTTATTCATCTTTCATGATGAAGACGTGAAACTGCTTCATTAAGTTTCCTCCGCTGGAGCTTCATTGCATCCCGTAGTTTTGATGTATTTTCCTTTTCATTACTTTTTGGATAGTTTGTAATTTTCTTTTTAATTCTTTTTTGATCCACGGTTTATCCAGGAGTGTATTTCTTACTTCTGATGCTTCAGTGGGATCTTTCAACTGCATATACCCAGTTATTTCTTTTCTTTTAAGTTAAAGGCATAAATAACTAACAGTCAGAGGCTCATGATGAGTGTGAAGCCGTTTTTCCTCAACTAGAGAAATTAGCTGAATTGGTTGCTGGCCTGTGAGGCCTTTCATAGTAAAGAAGGGTTTTCTTTGGGCTTTTTGAAGACTTGGGAGAGGCTGGTGCTGCTCTTACAGATCTCTGGGTAGAGAATCACGACGTAGGTGGATATATTGTCTTCTGACCTTTGCTCAGGACTTACACAACTCTTCTTTAAAGCTATCACCTCTCTTTTCTGTTTTATGAAACTGACATCATTACCAACTGCACTAACAAAGCACCTTCCGATTCTCTGTTAATTTCCAGAAAAATAATGAATTCTGAATCTGGCATTAATTTTGGATACTGGATTTTTAAAAATTAAGTTAACAGCCATAAATAGTACCGTGTATAGCAGACATTTCATGTTGAAAAACTACAATGCTTTTACAAACAATTATACCCTTTTCATGTATTTCAAGGTCAAAGGTGTAAAAATGCTCAAATCCTTTTTCCCTCACAGACGGAGTATGCAAGGTTTGAGAATGGCCGATTTGTATACCGAATAAACCGCTCCCCGATGTGTGAATATATGATCAACTTCATCCACAAGCTCAAACACTTACCAGAGAAATATATGATGAATAGTGTTTTGGAAAACTTCACAATTTTATTGGTAACTATTTTGTCTCTTCCCTGTTTTGGCAGACTCAGCCCTGAGGCTGATGGGGAAAGACTAGGGTGGAGATAAGGGTTGGGGGGGGGGAGAGGTAAAGTTCTGGGAGGCACCGGGACCTGGGCCAAAGCAAATGGCCTGGCTGTTGGGTAGGGCCCGGGTAGTCAGTCAGCAGTTGAGTCCACATATTTATAGGGTAAACCTGGCCTTGGTTTAGCTCAAGTCTGTAGAAGAGAGGGGTTTTATTTGTTTGTTTATTTTACACTGTGTGAGGGAACTGGCAGGGGGATTTGTAAGCTTGACAGAATTGAAATTCAGGAGGGTCATAAAAAATGATGGACCTAGGTTCTCAATTCTGGCCACACATTAGAAGACCTTGGTATCTAAATATCCTGATACAAAGACTGTAAACTGTGTCCATTATTGAATCAGGATCTCTGAGGACAGGACCCAGGAAAGTTCCCCAGCTAATTCCAGCATTAGCCAAGTTTGGGACTTAGCAGCAACATATTTGGCAAATCACAAATGAGGCAAAAGCTGAGTTAGAAGATTTGTAATTTGAGCATACCTTGATTCATTTTCTGGAGGATTTGCAAGGCCTTATAAGAAGTAACGTACATATGAGCTCTCAGAACTAGAAGGGATGTACGTTAGAATAGAATGTCATGACCAGGAAGGGTTGGAAATATTCTCCAGAGGCTGAAAACTATGATCAAAACTTAATGGGCAGCTAAAGGAAAGGGAAAAAATATTGGTGTTAAGTGTCCACAGGGCAATGCTGCGTGGGAGTTTTTCCCCCTTAATATTTAACTTTAAAACAAATTTCTCATGGAGGCTTCACTGGGGGACTTGGGAAGGTTATTACAAATAGTCTTGTCCTCAAAATATACCTCTAAAATATATATAATAATAGGTTTCATAAGGCTCATTTTAAAAAGTATAACATTCCTTAATTAAACTGAAGGAAAAATGCCAAAACAAAACTTGGTGGGAAGTATTTTTGCTGAAAGGGACAGCAAGGCAATATTGTGGTCAAACAATATTGTGGTCAAAGATCCCTTTGTGACTGGGATCAAGGACTAGAACACTAAAAGCAGGAATTCTTTACCTGAAGTTTTTGGATTCATTCAGCCCATGGTTCTCAGGCACTGGTATGCTGGTGGAAAATAAAGGCTCTGGCTCAAACTACCCCCCCCTCAAAAAAAAAAAAAATATATATATATACCCTGATTGTAAATACGCCCTCCATGGGCAATTTCAAGCTACCACTGGTTATCCAGCTCATGAAAGTCCTTAATATTTAACAATAACTTTCAGCAACCAGTAGGAGCCAGTTCCTTCACACAATGTAAAAAAAATAATAATAAATAAAAATTTTAAAATGCTGAGGTATAAGCCCCACTTCAAGGAATAACATCAGCATCCCCAGGTAGTTGTGCACACAGGGTTGAAATCCCTGCTCTAAGGGACTGGTCAATGAGCCAATTTTCATTTATTCCATGAAGAGAACCTCAATGGCCTCTTAAGTGTATCCAGGTCCCTCTGAAATTTAAAAACTAGCAGTCTGGGGGAAATTTGGAAAACATGTTCTTTAGTAACTAGTCTTCACTGGTGCCCTTTGGTGAACATTGAGCAGTCCAAGGCTCCAGGTGCTGGCAGATCCTCGTCACATAGAGACACCCTTGTATTTAAGAACAGATCACCTTAGTGCTTAGCTGAGCAGAAGGTGAATGTGGCATCCTGCTTTGGACATGAAATAGCCTCAGGAATTAACCACAACTCTCTGGGTGGATGGCCACTTCACCTCTCTTGGAAGGAGTTTCAGCTATTTTTTTTAATTTTAATTTTTTATTTTTGAAACCCGTGAAATGCTGTGTGTTTCAGCATTTTAAAGGATATGTGCTCAGTCTTTAAAACCCTCCCTACTTCACAGAGCATAGCTGAGGACAATAGGCCTGGAAAAATGAAAAGCATCTATTACCCATAAAACCCATGTAACTGTATGGGTTTTGGAACATGTGGCTTCATGCAGCATGACGGCTGGAGAACGCCCCATGTTTAATTAATTTCAGAAGGTATCATCAAGCAACTACGTAAATTCCTCTAATATGCAGAATTAGTGGCTATGGATAAATATCTGCTTGAATACTACTGTAGCTCTAGAAAAGCTGAAAGTAAGCCCTCGCTCCTGGGTTATGAGAACAAAATAATCTCATTGATTACAGGAGCAAGAGTACCTTTCCGTTTTTTCTCGGGGAGGGGGTTAGGATCATAGTCAGGGTGCCAGTTGCTGGACACCGTTGTTGGGGCTTTACTAGAGTGCCTCAGACATGAAATCTGTGTCTACAGGACCATTTCCAGACCCGATGGCCTGGTGGGCTAGCCTGTCTGATTTCATCAGGATTATTTGGGAATTCAGGTGAACCTGTAGAGGTGGGCCTTACAGACAGACAGACAGGAAGACAGCAGGTGAACTATAGGCCAAGTTTTCCTTTTGAAGTTGAACTCAGAAATACAGGTGGCTAGAAACTTTTTTCTTTCCTCCTTTTGAATCTTAATCATAAAGCCTAAATAGGATGTATTCTTTCATAGAAAATTTGCAAGAAAGGAGGCTACATCACAGATATTTTAGGCACATGTTAAACCTTTTGTAAATGTTACAACACGAAATTCTCAGTACAGAATTTTGAGTTCATTTTTATTACTATTTTATGAATAAGGAATGTTAGGTCTACCCTAACACATTAGGTCACAGAGCCAGTGATAGACATAAACTAAGACTTGAATTGATGGAAAAGACACTTTGCAGACTATTTCACGATCATGGAATCAGAAGACTTGGGTTTCAGAGCCAACTCTATTTTCTGACCTGGGGTAAAGTCTCTCCACCTTGATTTCCTCCTCCATTGACAACCAACGTGCTCAAATCTGTACTCTCCACCTCAGAGGTTATTAAGGATGTTTTCATTCATTCAGCTAAGCTCCAGAGAGATGGTTCTAGCTACCAGAATACAATGCAGATAAAACACACATGGTGTCACAGTAAATCTTGGCCTGATAGAGGAAAGAGGCAGGTGCATAACTGATTGCAATACAAGGTCATAATGGCTGTATTATAGTTACACTTGTGAAACGGGCACCACAGAAGTACAGAATACTTTACCTGAGCAGGTACCTATAATTGGGTGAGGTGCGGAATTCTCTGGAATATTAAAAGATGGTGTTTAAATTGCCTTGGTAGAAAAACAGACATTTTTCAGATTTACCAAGAAAAGGGCAATGTCATGGGTGCATAGTTAGGTGTCGGGTTCTAGGATTTGGTGAATTGGACAGGTGAGGCAGCCATCCTGGAGTCTGGTGAAGGAAGCAGGCATTCCCCGAGGAATTCCCAAATGAATGTACACTGAACAGTGGCTGATGGCTGCAGAGCTAGGTACCGTATTTTCCGGTGTATAAGACGACCCCCTAATTTTACAGTTAAAACATAGGTTTAGGCCTATATTCACTGTATAAGACTACCCCCCACTTCCGAGGCAACACCAGTTCTTTTTTTAATAGACCGCCTCTCTGACTCTGGCCAATCTGAGCAGGCTTTTTTTTCCCCCCCGGTTTCAAGAGTCGCCTTATATGCTGGAAAATACAGTACATGGTGCCAAGGAAGCACTATAGTTCTGGAGGTCACATCCGGCTTCCCAGAGGAAGCAGCAGTTGAAAGGTAGCTGCTGGATGAACAGGCAGAGGAACCAGGAAGAATACTGCGGAGAGGCAGGCAGGTAGCAGCAGGTTAAACAGAAAATAGGGTTGTATAGCTGCGAAGGACAGGAGCACAGAGCAGTGAGCTGGCCAGGGAGGAAGGGCCAGATTGGGCAGAGGCTCCTCCGCCTAGTAGGATGAGAACAGGTTTTCTCATTATCCTAAAGTTCAAAGTTTAAAAGAGGCCATTGAGGTGTTTTGTTTTGTTTTGTTTTGTTTTGTTTTGTTTTGTTTTGTTTTGTTTTGTTTAGAGAGAAAGCCATTGTTTGTTATTCCACCTATATATGCATTCATTGGTTAATCCTTGAATGTGCCCTGAGTGATCGAACCTGCAACCCAGGTGTATCGGGACAGTGCTCTAACCAAATGAGACACCTGGCCAGGGTCGAATCACGGTTTAAGCAAGTGTGTTGTTGTCAGGTTTCTGTATCTTACAAGGGTTTTGCAGCTGCTGTGTGCCGATGGGCCTCGGCCAGGCAAGGGTGGCTCCTGGGGAAGGAGTCCAGGTGAGGTTGGTGGTACCACGGTGGTGGAAAAGGGAGTGGATTCGAGAACTATTCAGGAGTAAAAGCAGCAGAACATGGCATTTGTTAGGTATGGTGATGAGGGAGAGAGAGAGAGGTTTCAAAGATGAAAGAAATACTTGCTTGCTGTATTTGATCTGTGAGGGAAGCAACAGGAATCAAGTGTAGAAAAGCACGGGGGTACCAGTATTGAAAATTGCCCAGAAAAAAACAAAAGTAGATAATCCATTATTGTGTCAGTTGTCTAGAGCAGCATGATATAACAGCTAAGAAAAAGGTCTTCAGCATTAGACAATTGTATTTCCTTAAACAGATTAATCCCCAGCTTCCTTCTTTGTCAGAGGAGGAGGGATATAGCACCTGCTCGTAGAATCACTGTTTAATATATCACATGAGACAATATGTGTAAAGCATTTAATACTGAGTACATGTGTACTAAGTAGTTGATACATGTTGGCTGTTATTACATGCCTTTTCATTCATCCAGCAAATATTTATTAAATGACTATTGTGTGCCAGGCTAGTTACTGGGGAATGTGGTCCCTGTTCTTCAAGAATTTGCAGCCCACTGGATGAGATGGGCATTTTCAAAAAATGATACAAATCTAAATGTATTTACAGAAGGTACAGACTGCTGTGATGGGAAAATTACAAATCCTGTAGGACTTTATTCTTTAGTCAGAGACCATACACATGGAGGCCTGAAGTGTAAGGGAAAGGAAGTGGGAGAAGTAGCCTGATACAGAGGGGGGAATGAGACCCACGGCAAACTGGATGAGGCTCTCAAATTCAAAATCTTTGAAAACACTCATGTAACGAAGTCAGAGAAGCATTTTGAAGAGGAAAGTTGGGTTAGATTTGCTTTTAGAAGGTTTCTTCTGAGATTTGCATGGGGGGTTGAGAGAGTGAGGAGAGGAACGAGGTAGGGTCCAGTGGGCAGGGGCTGCCATGATCTGGGCTAGAGGACTCAAGACCTGAACGGAGGCTGAGACGACGGGGTATGAGGAGGAGAGAGATGGATTGGAGACACTGGACTCAAGAGGGGAGGAGCATATTTCAAAATACATTTTGAAAAGTAAAGCCTACATGAATTAAAAGAATCCTTCGGCATGATGCTACCACTGTTCCTTCACTCAGCCTATTTTTTACTGATCCAGGCACTGCTGGTTAAAAGTGGCAAGCAAGGCACTCATGAAACTTATGTCTATCATTGGCTATCGTGAAACAAATCTAATAAAGGTTTAGGAATAAGATAGGAGACTGTTCCTAGGATAAATGACTGCCTCATGGGACAGGATTGTAGGAAATTATTGTAAAGAAATCAACCTCCCCCCACACCCCCAAAACTCACACTAATTCTCTGGTCTCTCTGGGGCTCATATTATGCATGAGACCCTTTCTATAAGGTGCTTCCTACATACAGTAACTCAGATGGGTTTCAAGTCCAACCCGCAATATCCTAAATTCATGCTAGAGAGTCAGCGTGAGGCTGTTGGACTTCAGACTGTTCCTTTCCAGGGAAATCAGAGTCGTCACAGCACAGGTGGAATATGCTTTCATCCATGTGGTGTTTTTTATTTATATATGTGTATATATACTTTTTTTTTTAACAGGTGGTTACAAACAGGGATACACAAGAAACTCTCCTCTGCATGGCCTGTGTATTTGAAGTTTCAAATAGTGAACATGGAGCACAGCATCATATTTACAGGCTTGTAAAGGACTGAACATGGTTATTTATATATATAGATATCTGTATATACACACACACACATGTGCACACACACTCTCCATTTTCAAACGACTGACTGTAAACCTCCCCATGCAGGGGGGTGCCCTGGCCCTGCGGTCACCCTACTTTTCTAAGTCCTGTTTGAGTGAAGTCATTTTTCCATGTGTTCATACTCTCATCATAGCTGTGAAGTTCTGGTACAGTTGTAAAAAGAGAAATCGAGTTTTTCCTCTGTGTCCCTCAGACCTGCAGCCCACAGTTCCTCGGGAAAGGTGAACCCTAGAACCCGTCTCTGCCCCCAGAGGCCTGTTTCTAATTGTGGTAGCAAATATTCAGACAGCATTTGCCGTGGGACATTTACAGCCTTCATACAAATGTATTTAGTTTTCTTTTTTTTTTCCAACATAAAATTCTTGTTTTAAGATACAAGTAAAATTAATCTTTAAATATAAATGTAAATTTAGTATAAAACACTAAGAATCTTTAGACTTATCTTTGTAACTAATTAGGGTGGAAGTTATGAAAGAATGTAATTCACTAAATTATTTTTTAAAACTTTTCTTTCATTTTGAAACCAAATGTTAAAATATAGCCTTAAGAAATGCTTGGTAGAAATATCTTAATGAGAAAAATTTGTACTTTTTTCACAAAGTTAAAACTAATCTCCTAATCCATTAAACGCTTGAACAGGTATTACAAAGGAAGAAAACTTCACCCCTTATCCTTAACATATATAGTATATTTAAAAATATAAAATTGTATTGTACTAATGTGATGATTGATTATTTAATGAAAAAGAAAAGATGGCTCTTTTTGCAATAAGTAGATAAATACTGAAAACCTAAACTTACAATGTTTATAGTCTTGTGTGTGCAGTTATATTTTATATGAACAACCAAATTTTTTTAAGATGAGTAAATATTTGAACCACTGAAATTTAATAGCAAAAAATTTTAATTGGCATGAATACTGCACTGTGAGCTACAAAGTATAGAAAATCCTGTGGCTGGTAGAAAATTTCATCAAACAAGGAAAAGGCTCATCAATTTTAGCATCTCTGCTCCCCCAAAATTGGCAAGCATCCTCACTAGCCTGTGGATAAATTGTTTATTTCTGGTGATCCAAAAGGCCTATTAACCTGCTATAATTATATGTATATGTATGTTTGTGAGTACATATACATATGTAGCTATTCAATACGTATTTATTGCACACCTAGTTAGTGCCACTAAGTTTGCTAGGTGCTGATATGTATGTATATTTCTGTCTGTCTCTATAGCTCTAGATATATTCTCTAAGGACACCCATTTTCTTCTCTCTCAGTAAGTCACAATACTTATTTGACCGAGGTTTAAGAGGCCCACCCTATTTATCTGGCTCATCTGGGAGGTTCTCTTCTCAGGAGAGACTTAAATGATCAGCCCAAATATTCCAAAGCTTGGCCCAGGCAGACTTGGTGCATCTCTTTCTACAGGGCTTCGTTGGTAAACACCCACAAGGACACACCCCCAACTTCCCAGAAGAAAGTGACATTTTTATAAATGTTGGGGACATGCTAACACAATAGAATGTGAAATAAGTTTTCTAAGATGTGAAACATATCAAGACTTTTTCATCAAGTCAGAAAATAAAAACTTTGCTCGGTCCCATCCAAGTAACTTATATACCCACTTCCTGTCTCCCTGTCCGCTCTGACCCTGCTTGCACACTGGTTAGGATCCGGGGGTCTTGAGCATGAGGGTATTCCGGGTTGGTGACCAGCAGAACACTGGGCCGCACCTGGCCTCTTCCAGACTCATGCAACTGGTTCACTGGGAAGACCAGAGGGGAAAGTACAAAACCTTCCCCATTTGGAGTTCACACCCCTTAAGGAAACCAGTAGGAGGGCGTCCATCTTCTCTCCATAAGAGACTGCCTTTTGTCCCCTGATTTCCAATGGGCCCTTGAAAGATTGCTCCCGTTGTCTGCTCTTCCTTCGGGTCTTCAGCCCAAGCATTGAAACTTCTTCTAGTGGTCATCCTTCGAGGATGTTGCTTTTTGCTCCTGTGTCTTGTATTTTTCCTCAAGGGAACCCTCACTCTTCCAGGAGTAGGACCCCAGAACTAAAGGCAGGCAAATGACGCATGTGGCTTCAGGCCAGGCCATCCCAGAGCTCCAGGGAGAGAGGTAGCACAAATAGACCCAGGAGACCCGCAAAGGGTAGTTCTATTGGCTGCAGAGAAGAGCATCCCCGGTCCCCGACTCCCGGTCAGGCCGGGCCTTCTGCTGCTTCACTGCCAGTGACCTCCAGACCCTGTTATAGTTGAATTAGGGGGGCTTACATAAACAACCCTGAGGCTTATGTTTTGCTCTTAAGTCTTTCTGCTTTATATCTTTTGCTCTAAGATGTTTAAAAGTTATTTCTTGTCTTATTCTTCTCAAGTTTTCCCCAGGGCAGATCTTTTCCCTCTCGTATCCATAGGTCCCGTCACCCAAACCCACAGCCCTTTCTCCATCTCTCCCAGATTAGACCTTGGAGTGGCATTTGCGTAAGATCAAATCTGAGTCTGTCTGAGTTTGTCTTTTGCCCTTTGTGGCCATATTCTCCCTCTTGGAAAGCTCTCTGCACCAGTTTCCAGAGCACGGCCCTCACTGCTCTCTCCCCGCTGCTCTATCCCCTGGTGACTCTCTGCTGCCAGGTGTGATTCAGAGACATTGCGTGCTGTCCCTGGAGAATTTGGAGGCCAAATTGTCACCCATAAGCAGGGGCTGCTGGTCTGTTGCTATTCTTTTCCACCTAGGAAAAATCAGGACTTCTTCAAGAACATGTCCCAGAATCCCAGAATGTCCCAAGTGCCCGAGACCAGTATCCACCTCAACATTGTTGACGTTTCATACGAGGTGATCCTTTACTGTGCAGGGCTGTTTGTGCATTAGAGGAGGTGTCCCAGTGTCCCCGCCTCTGCTCACTAGGTACCAGTAGCACCTCTTCCCTCAACCCAGAATGTCTTCAGCTATCACCAGTGTCCCAGGGGCACAGAATCGCCTCTGATTGAGAATCACTGCCCTGGACCGCACAGGTCCCACAGACCATGTTTTACCCTGCGATAATACCTCTCCTGGTGTCAGATGCCAGGAGGCAGGTAGAAATAGTATACAAGTGACATTGTGTACCTGCTGCTTCCCATTTCAGAACTTCTATTTCACATGTCTATCTTGCCACAAGCATTTACATTTCTTCTGTTGGTCACCCATCTTAGGAATCTTGCTCCTGTCTCTTGCATTCTTTCCCTCCTGCCAGGGAAAGCCGGGAACAGCTTGGTCACGATCATCCCGACGGTCAAAGAGCATTTCTAATTGATCTTCAATCCTTGGTTTACCGGACTTAAAAAACACACAGCTATTTTCATTATTTCTCATAAGCTCCTGGGTCTCATTAGCAAACCTTCCATCGTTTGGGTTTGCTTTTCTGCTTTTCTGCCTGTTTGCATCTGCAGAAGCCTCGGGAACATGTCTTTTCACCGTTAGGGATGGAGGAGAGGGGACCCATCCCAGGAGGTGGCTGATAGAAGTTCTTGTTTATTGAGCTAAAAGGGAGTACCGTCTACTCTCCTCCACTGTGTGGGTGAGGACGTTGAGGCTCTCACACTCCTGCCACTTACCCTTCGGCCTCTTCTGGTGGAAGTTGTTCCTCTTCGGTGCTCATGTATAAACGACCCCCACAAATGTGTGGACGGGGTCTCTTCAGCAGAGAGGGGAGGGAAGAAGCCCCTGCCAGAGCCGCAGCATCGTCCCAGGTGGCTGCTGCTTGCTGGAGTAGTCAGAGGTCACCACAAGCAGAGAGGCAAGCTGATGAGCCTTTTTGCTTCCTCTGAGTTCAGTTCACCTGCCACAGGCTCCAAGTTCCCATTGCTAAGCATCCCGGCAGCCAAGTCCCGCACGCAGGCCAGCCAAACGCAGGCCCCGTTCCAAGCACTTGGTAGGCAGGTCCCCAGATGACTTGAAAACCCAAGTCTTTCCGTTTCAATACTGTAGTGGCTTCAGCAGTTTGTTTTTTGTAGAACCATAAATTATTTTAGTCACAAGACGACAGTCAGTTTTACAAACCAGGTACATATCATTGGTATGATTTTGTATATGCTCTGGTACACTGTCCATGTCCCAAACGAAGGGAGAACCAGCCTCGTTGGTCCGTGTTCTCACGGACGCCCTGGAGAGGACATGTCTGCACCGCTCACGTCTTTATGTTGCTGTGTCTGCGGCAAAGCCCTGCCCCTGTTGTTTGTGAAAAGCCTTAACTCTGAGATGTCGCGTGAAGGGTGTGCAGTGTAAAAGGCTGCCTCGGAACTGTGAGCCCTTTTGTAAGCTGGAAGCATTTCTCTTACCACTGTTACTCTTTTTAGGAAGTTTTCAATTCAGAGCTGCCAAAGCGTTCCAGTAAGCAGTGCCTTAGATACATTAGCCGCGCCACCAGCCTTGTCTTACACCTGTTCTCAGTGCCCACTGACTGATTGGCCCCGTATTTAAAACAGAACAAGCAAAAAGCATTTCCCTTTTGTTTATTAAGCCCCCTTTTCTCCAGTTCTACAAGAAACTGACTCCTTGGTCTACAATCGGAAACTGAACGTGAGTCAGTCCTCTGACCAGACTCTCAAATGTAGATACCAAAACAAACGGTTCTTGCAACTTCATAGTTGACTATGAAAAGCAAATTGTACTTTTTAATGTTGCCTTTTAAATTCACGACCAAATACTTAGCTATTTGTGAATCTTCTGCACTCCAGCATGAAAGTGCCTTTGGTTTGAGATTCCAGCTTAGAAAAGTGCTGCCATAATAACGATCACTTGTAGAGAGACCAAAAATTTATTGAGATCACCGTAATGCCTTTGGTTTACCGGGATGAGTAACCAGCCACAGGCCTCTGTCTGCAAGAGCCCAACGTGGACCCCGCCTGCTGGGAGTCTGTCTGCCATGGGAGAGCCCCCGCCACCATCCACCAGGAGCACGCTGCCGCA